ACCCCTTCCTCGGAACGTTCCTGCCCAGTGGGAGTAAGAGACATGCAAACATTCTAATCACAGTCAATACCATTCTATATCTGCAGTCTCACAGATTTAAATCCATAGATTTAAATGACCAAAGATAAAAAATATTGGAAAAAAAGTATGCACCACACACATTCAGACTTTATTTCTTGTTATTATTCCCTAAACAATACAGCATTACACTACTTACATGGTATTTAAATTGTGTTTGATATTATAAATAATCTAGAAATGATTTAAAGTATACAAGACAATGTGTGGTAATATGCAAATACTATGAGATTCTACATAAGGGACTTGAGCATTTACGGATGCTTCATGGGGTTCTTGGAACCAATCTCCTGTAGAAACCAAAGAATAACAGGAAAGTGTACATGGTACTTACTAGGAGCCAGGCTCTGGGATTACAAACTCTGTATTTATTCATTCATTTAAACCTTATGAAATAAGTTCTGAGGGGCTGTGGCTGTGGCTCTGCAGTAGAGTGCTCGCCTGGCACGTGCGAGGCCCCAGGTTAGATCCTCAGCAACACATAAAAATAAATAAATAAAATAAAGGTACTGTGTCCAACTACAACTAAAAAAATATTTTTTTAAAAAAAGAAGTTCTGCACGAAGAACTAACTTTATTCTGTATGGAGGTACAGGGATGCATAGAGGTTGAGACCCAGAGAATAGTGAATTCTGCCTGAGCTGATCCAGAAGAGCTTCATGAAGGTGATTATCAGATGAACCAGAAGTTAAGCTCATGAGGTAGAGCACAAAAGAATCAGACAGCATGTGCCAAGCACAGAAAGGTGAGACAACACAGTATGTTTCAAAAATGCAAACAGTATAGTGAGTACAAAGGGCAAGGGATACGCTTGAAGAAGTAAGCTTCGGCCAGATCATTAAAAATTCTTTTGCTAGGAATGGGGTATGGCTCAGTGGCAGAGATCTTGCTTAGCACATCTGAGGTCTGGAGTTTGCCAGCACCACACACACACACACACACACACACACACACACACACACACACAGAATCTTTTTTTAATATTA